GTAAATTCAAGTTTAGAAAGTTGTTGGATTTTGTATGAAATATTTAAGAATTGTAAATCTCAGGAGGCTGTTAGGGGTGGTGGGATGGCAGAAAGGATTTTCTATTCTCCCTTTCCATTCATTTATGCCTGTTTTCTTATTACTTCCTTAGATCTATGAAGGTCACAGTGGACTGGTCAGGTGTATCAGTATTGACCCTAAGGGTCAGTGGATGGCTTCAGGTTTGTAAATACTCTATATAATCCACAATTATGTCTTGATAAATACAATTAGTATAGTAAGGTTAAATAACTTATATTTTAAGTACTGTTATGTAAATAAACAGGTAATAGGCATTATTTGACCAATTCAAAAAGTGGATACATATGCAAAATAAAAATCAATATTAATAATAAAAATATATGAATAAAATATAAAAATAATTTATAAATTTGTATTCATTATATTTGTATATTTTTAGTAAAGATTTAACATATTGTATTACAATTTCTCACCTATTTCACACCTGATGAACTTCTATTTGTTATTTTCCAGGTTCTGATGACCACAGTGTTAAACTGTGGGAGGTGTCCACAGGCAGGTGTTTGAATACTGTCCATATTGGAGGGACAGTTAAGAGCCTGGCCTGGAACCCGAACCCTGCACTGTGTTTAGTGTCGGTCTGTGTGTAAGTGGGACCAAGTGAAATATTTGTCTTAAATTGGTTATATAATTTAAATAATAGTATATATGGGCAATTTCATGTCATCTATTTCATGTGTGGATAATATTTTTCTTAAAACTTGTTATTTAGTGTTAATTATTCCATCTATGAGCAGTGCTGTGTTTTGATTGTTCGTCTTGCTGAGTCTTATAAATTTTTTTAGCTTTGATTAAAATTTCAAATTTTAATCATCAAAGCTAAGTGGAGGTTTGTCTGTAGGAGCTGACTTCAGCAAAATTTGAATTTTCAGCCTCTTATAAAAATTTGTCCTGTCTTTAAACCTAGAAAATAGGCTAATTATGGACCTTTCATCTACAGATATGTAAAAGCTTACTTGATACTTTCAGAGAGAAAGCGGTCATTCTGCTAAACCCTGGCCTTGGAGACAAAGTGGTCATTACAGCAACAGATAATATGCTGACCAGCTATCAGTCAGCCTCAGAGGAGGAAGAGAACTCTGGTATATCTCTTGTTTCTCATGTATAATTTTTCTTTTTATTAACAATTTTAAATATGTTAACTTTAAGTAATGCTAGTGATGTCTATATTCTTATGCAAGTGTTAAAAGGCTTAGGCGCTTTGTTTGGGAGAGAGTTATTGTGCATATATTGCTATATGATCTATAAGGGTTCATTTACATCACATATGTTAGTGCACAGGAGGATGCTGCAGCAGAGGGAACATCCATACAGCCGTAAGCTGTGGAGCCGCTATCTTACTGCTCACTAAATTATGACATTTATTACAAGTACACAGTATATAACAAAATTATTTCATTTCCTCTTTGTATTATTCTTCTGATTTGAAATATTGCAAGCAGGCTTGTAATGGTTGTGTTCTTTATGTAGTATGTCTAAATTTTCAGGTTTGCCAACAACTTGGGAAGATTGTGAGGAAGAAGAAAGCATGCATGGCTGCAGGGTTAGGATTACACACCCTAAGGTACACTAAAAATATATAATAATAAATGTAATATCTATAAAACATAAATACATCTACGTTAATGTTGTGTAAGACAGACACCTGAATATAATGCAGGTAAAAGATCCAAATATTTATCACGTCTGAAAAAAGTAGTTTAAATAGTAATGTTGTTCAGTGAATAACACCTGCTCAAAATATTCAGTGCTTGAAATTTTTACATTTTATTATTTTTGTTTTCATAACCTTTAATCAAGAATTAAATAAAGACTGCTAGTAGTCATACCTAGTTTATTTTTCTGAGCCGCAGACTTTGGTTAATTTGAAGGTAAAAATAGTGATTTATTCTTGTGAAATACTACAGATAGATAGAGATTTTGATGGTGTTTTCAGTACTTGTCCTTTCAGTCCAGGGTCAACTTTATATTGTCCATTTACTGAACACACTGTATCCAGTGCTATATGAACATAAATAGTGTTGTTTTTTTCTCATCCCCAGGATGTCAGTCAAGTCACATGGCATGGGAAAGGAGACTATTTTGCCACTGTGATGCCAAATGCAGAGTCCATGTCTGTAATGATACACCAGCTCTCTAAGAGAAGGTCTCAAGTAAGAGGAATAATTGCATTAAATCATCTTTTAGCTTTCTTTGTATGGCTTCTCATGTAGCATCAAAAGTTACCAGGTTTTTTTGACAGTGGCCAGTGTCATCAGAATATATGTTTTGTTTCAGATGTTTTAATATTGTTACTTAAAAGAAATTCCACAATCTTTATGATATTTATATAATTTGAATTTTGTTTTCCAGGCCCCGTTCTCCAAGTCTAAGGGTATGGTACAGAAGGTGCTGTTTCACCCAACAAGGCCCTTCTTGTTTGTGGCTGTAAGTAGATACTAAACTAGTTCAGATATATGTGAATTGAGGATTTTTTTAAAACTCATTTTTGTTCTTTCACTTAGTAATTCTTGAAAAGGTAGATATGATTACTTACATAAACTGTTATTAGCTTCTCTGCAAATACCCTTTTCGTAACGGTTGCCACATTGCAAATTTCTTTCTATTAAACTTGCCCTGTAACAGTTCTGTAGGAACAATTATAACAATAAAAAGAATTTATATAAATGTGTTAGAAGAAAAAACTAAGAAATTTTCACCTTATTTACCTTTCAATACTTTGATATTTAAGACCCAGCGCTATGTGAGGGTATACAACTTGACCAAGCAGGAGTTGACCAAGAAACTGATGACCAACTGTAGATGGGTGTCCAGTATGGCTGTACACCCTGGAGGTAAATTTTAATGTCATAGATTTGGCTTCATACTCTCTAGGACCAAATAGTATCAATAGCCTTGTGAATTGTGAAGGGTAAAAGAGCATATTATGTGTTTCCCAGATCTGCTTGAAGAACCTATTTTTAAATTCATCGGCGAATTAAAAACTTTATTTTACATTTTTGTTTTGTAACCAGGAAAAGTATAACTTTGAAAATGTATTGTTTCAAAAGCCTCATCAGTTATTCAATTTCCAATGTTTATCAATACATATATATTGTTAATTTTTGTATTTTATGAATGTATCACTTCAGGAGACAATGTGATCGTGGGTAGTTATGATGCCAGGCTGTCATGGTTTGACATGGATCTGTCCACAAAACCCTATCAAACTCTCAGGTAGGATCACTGGGCTAGCAGGGCTGGGCCAGGATCACTGGGCTAGCAGGGATGGGGCAGGATCACTGGGCTAGCAGGGATGGGCCAGGATCACTGGGCTAGCAGGGATGGGGCAGGATCAGTGGGCTAGAAAAGATGGGTCAGGATCACTGGGCTAGCAGGGATGGGGCAGGATCAGTGGGCTAGAAAAGATGGGTCAGGATCACTGGGCTAGCAGGGATGGGGCAGGATCAGTGGGCTAGAAAAGATGGGTCAGGATCACTGGGCTAGCAGGGATGGGGCAGGAGTTTGGGTTAGGCATTTTTCTGTTATGCACCTAAAAGCAATGAGTGGCTAAATATTGTGACAAATTTTAAATTTTAACTATTATTTCTTATCAATTTTCCAGACATCATAAGAAAGCCTTGCGCCAGGTGTGTTATCACAGTAGATATCCACTGTTTGCATCTGCATCTGATGATGGCACTGTTATTGTATGTCATGGAATGGTGTACAAGTAAGTATATTGTATTGTTACTGTTGTCATTTGTATTGTCATTTACATCAGAAAATGTCATTGTGCATAATTTCAACCAGTTATTAATAATAATTTGATATCATCATTGAAAAATCAGTTATTTGCACAAACTGATTTACTTACAGTTAATTTTCAATCTGAATGTTTTCCAGCGACCTTCTCCAGAACCCGTTAATCGTCCCAGTGAAGATCCTAAGAGGACATAAGATCAGTAAAGACCTGGGTGTACTGGACTGTCAGTTCCACCCCACACAACCCTGGATACTGACAAGTGGGGCAGACAATACTATCAGGTTATTTACCTGATCTGACCTTATATTTATATATATATATATATCTTTGTAAATATGGAACGTACATGAAAGATGTACTGAAGAGGATAAGAGATTGTACAGTTAGCAGACTGTTTGATGTACGACGTATTCCACAAGAATTTAAACCATGAATGCCCTACAGAAGAGTCGGCCTTTCTGTCATTATTTATGAGAACTGTAAAAAATTGAGTAATGGTTGTTTATCATCATAATAATGATAACAAAATTCGTAAAATAAAGCAGAAAATAAATAAACTCATGGTTTGGTTATATATCACTGTGAAGATGATTGTAAAGTAACATTGATTTGGGGTGGGGGGGGGGGGCAAACTGTATTGAGTATTTATGTAAGATATGTACATAAATGAGCATGCTGTTTAAAACACCTTGTTTGAACTGCTAATAATAATCATGATTGCATGGTTTTTGGCCTGCAGACTTATGTTTAAGTGCAATGCAGCTAGATTTTTCCTATTATAATAGTTACACATTTTAATACTAAAAATACTAATAATAAATTGCAACCAAAAGCCAGGAGTTGAACATTTCTAAGCCAAACAATACATGTATATCATGTTAAAAGATGTGGAATTCAATTTTAACGATTAAATATGTGAAAATGCATACACACACCCATGAACATGCATAAATATTTAATAAATATAATAAAAATATTAAAAGTATAAATTTCACCAAGTTTGTATGGACAATAATGAATAATATGTTTTTTGCTTTACAAACTACTTTGACCAAACTAATAATATAAAATTATAAATACTTTATTTAAAATAAAGGAAATCATGAAAAAAATGCAAATTTTGAGGTTTTGGATAATTTCCTCTTGGACAAAGCGACATCTACCGGCAAAAATATTATGCAAGCAAAACAGCAGCAGCACGCGTGTGAAGAAGGATAAACACAGGCGTCTTAACTCTTCAAGATGATGAGCGGACGAATTTTACCCCGGGCCACCCGAGAAATCCTTCGATCTTTTCGAAGAACAGTGTCAACGACAGCTGTTTCCTCTGCACAAGCTGCTGCAGCCAGCGAAGGTGAGAAATTGCGACTTCGTAGTCGTACTACTACTGTGATGTCTAATGATTATTCAGGCATTAAATATTGTAAGAAACTTCAAGTTAAAGAGATCGGGGAAGCGATCTTAAAATCTTGTGAAAATGTTTACCATGTTCCAAATGTTATGCTCAATGCCTGCCTTTCAACTACAACACTATAATTACAGCCACCACAGATGGACAGGAGTCCACCCAGCCAGCGCTGAGACCTCTGTATCTGGATGTACAGGCTACAGCTCCTATGGTACAGATTAGTACAAAAATCATACACTATCTGTATGAAGTGATCTTAATTTGACATACATAGCTTACTCTTTCCCAATTCTATGATTGATCCAACTCCATTGAGACTCTCAATGAATGCAATTAGATTAACAGATTTGCATGGCTCCTCCTGGCATTTAATAGAATACAGATAAATTGGTGATTATAATGAATGGATATAATCAAATTAAAGGTAGATCAACTTTAATTTGCTTGTGAAATTTTCTATTAATTTTTTTTTTCATTATGCACCACAGTAATATGAGATACTATTTTTTAAAGGATCCCAGGGTGTTGGATGCCATGTTACCCTATGATATCAGTTTCTTTGGCAACCCTCACTCCAGAACACATGCCTATGGCTGGGAGTCGGAGCAGGCAGTGGAAAAAGCTAGAAAAGTAGGTACTAGGATAATGATACAACTTCTTCAAAATTACTAGTGCATAATACATATAGTACATGCCATGGAAAAAGCTAGCAAGTAGGTATTTGGATACAGCAGAGTTGCCAGTGTCCCAACAAAAAGAGCAGGTTGTCTGACCCCCC